AAATGGCGCATCAAATTTTTTTTATCGGAATTGAAAGAGGTTTGATTTCAATTTTCTTGCTCATTTAATAAGGAATGATCGCGTGTTTGATAGATTAATTGAACGATTTGCCAACCCTGATTATAAAAATTAATAAAGAAACACTGGATGATAGACATTGAAAATCTTCCCTTATTACAATGTTAAAATAAACAGAAAAAATTGTTGGAGTAAGCTAAAAATAATTAATGGATACATCGCTATTAGAATATACTTGAACTCAAAATTGATTTAAATCAATAATTTTTTAAAAAAAATAACTTGATTTAATTCGCGAATAAAATTGTGATTTAAAATGATTAATTTTTATTTTTAACCCCCTATTATTTGAGGTTAATAATTTATATTTAATTAGGAACAGTCATTCAACGTTCCGAGTTGGGGAGTATTCTAGTTCGATATATTACTTGGAAACTCTGGTTCGAAAAAATCATATGCCTATTGGCAAAGTTTATATACATATATATATATATATACCTTCACCTATTCAGGAATTGTTTAAAAACATGCAAAAATTTGAGCGGTATGATGAATCTGTGTTTTGTTTAAATTAGGGCTGTGCCGATCCACATATTTTACACAGATCCGATCCGATATTTTTAGATATTGGTTCAAAACCGATCCGATATTTATATTGATCCCCTCCCCCTGAACCAAATGTAATTAAGAAATCAATATTTTTTATGCAAAAAATAGAATTATACAATTTAATTTTTTTTATTTCTACAATAATTAAAAAAACTAAGTCTATGGATATTGGTAGACCCGACCCGCCCGCTCACGACAAACAATATTTTAATTCACGCCCGTCACGCCCGAAAATTCACGGTGTTTTTAAATTTTTCAAAACTATTGCTATAATTTCACACTTTTTTGAATTCATTCTATCTATTTCTCTAATTTCATAATCCATATTAATAACAAAAATAAATACAATCTATAAATCGAAATTTATTTAGAAAAAGAAGAATGTCCATCTTTTTTTTATTTCAATTGTGTACGCCTTTCCTCTAATAAGAGATTGGCTACAAAAAATAACCTTTCACTAGAAGCCGTTGCAGCTGACAAAATTTTACTCGATAATTTTCTCAAAAAAGGAAATGAATATTCCTGCTTCCAAACTTCAAAATATTGTCTTGTTATTTATCTTATATGAATCTTTTAAGTTCACCCTCACAGCTTTCATCAGTGATGTTGATGCTTCGTCAGAATCATCTAAAAATTTTCTAAATTTTTTATTTAGAATATACGGTCTTTTATGAGTGTAGTATGAATTAGGAAAGTGATAGTTGGTATTGACCATTTAGAATATACGGTTTTTTATGAGTTTAGGATATGTTAGGAAAGTTATAAATGATAGTTGGTATTGACTTAAGCATATCATCTAATTTTATATCATTTAGCATTTTTAAGATTGTTTTATATATATCATTTTCTTCATTTATTAAAAACTTAAGTCTTTTGAAATTCGGATCTAGAATTAAGCCTACCTTATGTAGTGGCTAAATAATAATTTTTAAAAGAAATCTTGTTCTGTATTTTAAGGTTTTGATTTATTGTATCACGTTCAGAAGGTTAACAAAATTTTATTAATTTTTGTTTCCATAAACAAACTTCATTTATTATGGGACGAGAATCTGCTCTCAGATTATCCGAGCATTCTTTAAATATTGATAAAAATTTATCTAACTCGCGTATGATGCTGATATCAATTGTGGCTAATCTATTTAATTCTTGCTTGCTAAACAAGTACACCTGTATTTCAGAATATGATTTTAAGAAACTCTGTATCATGATATATACAGAGTTTCATCTAGTTATTCTCGATATTACAACTTGTTTAAGGGTGTGGCTTGTTTGCTATTAGCTGTAGATTGTTTGAAATATTGTACTATTTTTTTTACACCATTTATATTTATGGCTATTTCAGTTAAACAATTGTCAAAAATATAATGCATAATATTATTTAGTATATGGCATATACATGTAAGCGTTTCTTCATCTTTGAATGCACTTATAAGATTTGCTCTGTTATCACTCACAACACATTTATATAAGTATTTTCTACTTCTGTATATTCTCCTAAAATTGAATTGATTACACTTTTAATTTTGACGTTTTTTTCATCCATTGCCCTTGTGGCCAAATAAATGTTTTTAATTTAAAATCCTTAATGAATATGTCCTATAATGGTTAAAAACTTAGATTTTTATAGTCATCCGTCCAACAGTGATTATTGGACAAGTAACTATTATTGATCATGCTTATCTTAAATTTTATTTCATGGTATATTTTTAAACCTATAGATACATGAGAGTTTTCCGGTTCACAACTTTTATATTTTGTTATCCATATGTAACACCAACATTTATCACTTGGCCTAGCTTGTAAAATCCTTCACCTTCTGTTGCATTTAAAGATTGAAGATCTTTATAAATAAAATATAACTGACTTTTCTGTAAAAAGTTTAAGCAAAATTTAGCATAAAGTCTCGCGACAAAAAACACCTAAACATAAAAAGAAAATAGAACTAACTAAATGATACCGGATGTTGTTTATAAAATGCGGAAGATTTTTAGCTTTCATAAATTATTCGTTTTTAAAAAAGAACTAAATTAAATAAGAAAATATATAATATAATTATAAAATTGCTAATTTATATTTATAAAAAAACAATTTAAAAAATTAAAATTTCCATGATTCACGGGAAATTTATGTTCACGCCCGATCACGCCCGGGGAAAATTTTGGGAAGGTTCGTCACGCCTTGGTATTTAAAATTTATTCACACTCACGCCGTGACACGATGGGTCACGCCTAATTTCACGGCCCGCGCCCACCTCTAATTGGTAGTATTAAATGAATTTTTCATTATCCCTCCCCGTGAAATTAGAATTCAGCAGATAACGCATTTTGCAAAATTATCTTTGTCTTTAATATTTCCATAATTCAGATACCATATTTAAAAAAATTCTTTTATTTAAAGAATAAATAATAAAATTGGCGTTATTATTTAAAAAGATTTAAAATAAATAAAACTTTGGGTATTCCTTTCTATTTTTATAAGAAAACTTTTAAAATACTATAAATCTATTTAAAAAATTAATAAAATTTAAGAAGTGTTGTGCATTGGCATTGTTTTAAAAAAAATTATTTAGAAAATATTATTAATATAAAATAAATATACATAAAATAACAAAAAAAAGAAAAGTTAAAAAATAGGATCGAGTTTTTACAGGTATTGGCCCGATCGGATATTTTTGGAAAACGCTAAATATCGGTGCCGATCCGATACAATATTTAATATCGCCACAGCCCTAATTTAAATTTGGTATAAGAGATTTAATCCTAATTGGTGAAAAATTAACAATAACCTTATCCAGGATAAACACCGTTATCTTTTATTATTAATGAGCGTATTATTATTATAAGTTATTATACTTCAATTTCATCAATTAAGTCGATAAATTCAAATAGGAATTATTTTAAACGAGCAAATATTATTAAAATATGATAACAAGTTTCAATTTCTTGATTATTAAAAAGCATATATTTTATACCCAAATTATTTATAGATAAATGGGGGTCTTTTATTCATCGTTAATAGTGGCGGATAACCTTTGCTAGTTTAAAAATATAACGATCAATATGAATCTGGTGTTTTTTCTTCTTGTTATGAACATTTCAAAATGTAGCCGATTTATATAAAAAAAATAAAGATGAATAGATAGATAGTTGTTATTGAAATTATCTAAAAAATTAATTTGGTGGAGATTCTTATGTGTCTCTTTCTCTATGTAAATTTTAAAATTATACATTAGTAACGATGATATAACATAAATTGATTATCGATTAAATCATGTATACATGTATAGTAAATGTTTTTTGCAGACAGATGAAATATATTAAACTAAATCGCTTAGAGTCTTAATCTAATAAATATCTTCTTTTTTTTAAAAGAATTAAAATTATTATATAAAATAATTTAACTTAAGGGTAATGGGCTACAACGGTACATATTTTATGTTTTTATATTTTAAAAAAATTGAATTTATGCCATTAGGAAAAATATGCCTTGTATATTAACAAAATTATTGATTTTTAGAATTTTAAATGTTTAGTTATTATTTATCCTATTGAAATTAGGGGTAAAATTATTTTTCCTAAGGTTGCTTCGATATTATCAGAACGGTGTCGGTATTGGTCTTTTAAAATATAAAAACTTAAATATAACATATTTATTTTGTGTTCAAATAAAGTGATTTTTGCCTCAATAGATTATATGTTATCCCTTAGGCCTCGATGCTCAATTTTCAAAATATATAATGTTGGATTTATTTTTGCCCATCAAGCAAGTCATAATTTTTTTTAGTCCACCCTTAATTTTAAAATATTAGGTCGGAATCCTCAGTGAAAATTTTTTTAAAAATTATGTTTGAGTCCTTGTAGCTCACAACTTCGGAATGGGCTTACTTGAATTTGGTGGGTTTAATATTTCCAAATATAAAAAATCATATTGAGAAAGCTTAAAAAAATGGAAGATTACACATTTAATAATATTTTTCAGGCAAGAGTTAAGCTTCAGACATGGATATATCCTCGGTAAACCATATTCGCGGTTACTAAACGAGGGCTTTAGCATGGAATAAATTCTTCTCTAAAAAACATTTTATAAGTTTTCAATATATTTCTTTAGAAAATTTTGTCAATCTTTCCATTTTTTCACAAATCTGGAAGTCTGTCTAGGACGACTTCGGAAGAGTTGGGCTGCTTTAAATTGATTTTTAAATAAATCGCATCTATCCCCTTTAATAAGTGAAGTAACTAATAATTAATATCTTATAGATTTCATAATTACGGTTCAAAAACAGGTATTTAGTCAATATGGTTCAGAATTATATGATCGTAACTTATTTCCGTAATATTATAGATTTTCTAAATTAGCGAAAACAAGAAATATACCTATAAACACCATAATGTTTGCCGGAGGCCTTGTCACCGCAAATGGCACATAAGTGCTTGGAGTTACTAAGGGGGTGAAAAGGCGGGTATGGAGGGGAGGGGGTAGGGTTAGCAGGGTGGGGTGTTTTGAGTGGTGGCGCCTCATTATCGGCGAGAATGGAAGGAGCGATCGAAGCGTGAGAGGAATAGGGTGAGACAGGAGATATAGCGTTGTAGTCATCGTGGAGCGTAAGGCAAGTAGTCGATCCGAGGCCACTTCCGGAAGAAGGGGTAGGTGCCAGTTTATGACGTGGATGGTTGCCACACACGTTTTGAGTAGTCGGCTTTTTACTTATCGAGGAAGGACCTCGGCTGATACCGTGTTTGAAGGAGGAAGCGGGAATTTCTTCAGTATCTGCTGTCAGAGTGACGTGATCGGTAGGTAGATTGACATTTGTGCCAGACAGGTGACTTAAAGGCGAGTAATCATATGCATCATAAGAGGTTACGGGGCTAGATCGAGGGACGCGAATTGACCAGGAAGGGTTAGATCCATTAGATGTAGTTTCGCCCGTTCTTTTGGAGAGAGTCTCTTGGTTGCGAGAGTCAACGCCATTGTATTTATCGTTGACGTCGTTGGAGAAAGAATTTTGAGCGGAACAAGGAAAGAAGGAGGAATTTTTCATGAAAAATGGGAAGGAGTTGTTGGGGTCTAAATTATTGCCAATACTCGCCCCTACGCTTCTGATATCGTTGTCGCGTTGGTGAGAGACGTGACGTGAAAAGTTTAGATGTTCAGAATCCAAATCGAGATCCCCGTCTCCACCCAAAGGTTCGAAATGGTCAGGTTCGTGAAGTCTCGATCGCTTTTTATTTTGAACATTATGTTCTATCTTATTACCGGTAATGTGAATGCCGTTAGAAGTAGTTTCTTCCTTTTTAATAGACGAATAATTCGTATAAACGTTTTGGTTTGATAATTTTTTGCTAGATTTGAGGAAACAAGGCAATCTATCCTCGGAAAATTCCTGTTCCTCAGATTCGCTTTTTACGATTACATCCCACCGAGCGTCCAGAGGAGAGTTTTTTTTATTATGAGCCTGGTCTCGTTGATCTCCGAAATGATGGTGCAGAACGAAAGACCGGCTTTGATTCTTCTGAAAATGGTGATAATTAATCAAGGCTGCTGTCGAAGTGAGAGGAGATAGCACCATACCTCGGTTATCATTGTTTAACAAGGGTAAAGCCGATGCCGATGCGGGGGACGACTCCACGTTATTAAATTCGAGAGGTGAGGTGTATGCCATCAAAGGGTATCGAGCGGCGTTAGAAGTCGACATAAATGAGGAGAGAAAATGATGAGCAAGACGACCGTCGTCACGATTTGCGTGCCTTAGGCCTGCAGGGCTGTCGGAATTAAGATCCCCGACAGCGCCTATACCCGTGCTATCTGGGGTTAGGTCAGAGATGTTATTTGCCTTTCCAGTTCGATCTTTGCGGCGTTCAGAGGCCGCAAGCGATAACGATTTGTCTGGGCCGCGGATGGGCAGATGATAAAAGCGTCTACGAGTATCAGCAGAGTCCCCAGTAGTGGAGGAGCAAGCAGCATCGTCAGTTTCTGAAGTCGCGAGATGAGAGGAAGTGAAAGATAAAACGCCGCGGGGGTAACAATTTTTATAGGCAACTGTGGCAGCGTCGGCCATTACATCGGTACCCTCGTAAAGGAGAGCAGGCGGAGGGGCCAAAAAGGCAGAGGAGTCGAACAGGCTGAACCCGAAGGATTCATATTCGTTGGGGAAGCCTCGATGATCCAAACGCGCTGTCCCAGTGTTGCTCTTTGTACCCGGTATGGGAGACATCAAATCGTTTTTGGCAACTCGTATCGGAGGTTGACCCGGGCTCTCGCTATTTTTTAGCATATCGAGACGAATGAGTAAAATTTAAGGGTGAGGTGAGGGTATATCATTTGCCAATGAAGAGCCATTTGATGGAGTTATGATATGATTATTGTTAAAATTTTCAAAACGCTTTTGAGAAGTTTAATCTTTTAAATAAATAATAATCAATTTAAAATTTTTGATTGATCGTTAGATGGGTGATAAAATGATATGTTGAATAAGAGTGAACTAATCATGTTTTAAACTCCGCAAATATTTTTTGACATTATATTTTGTAAAAAATAAAATATAAAATTATTTTAAAAAAATTTTCATACCCTTGTTAGCCCTTCATCCTTTATAAAGGGCTAGTATAAATTATTGTTGAATAATAGGTTTTATACCATGACCTAAAATATATAGTAAAATTTGAAATAACTTCCTAAACGTAGCTCAGTGGGGCAGGAAATCTAAATCTCCTTAGTAAATTTGAGTTTTTGTATATAAAATTTAAATAATTAAAAATTCCCTTCCCCCCATCGCATTATTCTTCTCGAAAAAAAACATATATGATGTCATTATAAAACAATAAATTTTTAAAATTTTTATTTAAATAATGACATAATTAAAATTTTTAGAAAAAAAACTTTAAAAAAGGGTAAATCAAAATTACTTTTAGAAATTTGCAACCAGGCCAAAATGAGAGCAACAAGCTCTCAATAAAATTTACGGTTATCCATAGCTTATAAAAAATTTCTTGGGGTTTAAATTTTTTAAAGATAATTTGATATTTAAAATAATTTGTAGAATATTTCAATGGGGACGCGAGCCCCGCTTCTCCCATGAAGTCGGCGCCTATGTGTATATCACTTTAAATGAACTCTTGTCCTCGTTATAATAACCTAGGGGATGATAAAGTTCTAAAGGCCAATAACAAATTTAGAAATATTACATTTTTATAGTTTAATAAAAAGGAATGTAATATTGAGGAAAAAATTAATTTCACATTTTATAAATTTATGGAATGCGATAAGGAGGAAAAAAGGAGACTTGATAGTATTTATATTCATAATTGGTTAGAATCACTAAGATAGTTTATTACATATTTAGAAAAATCTTATACTTTTAACTAAGGCTGTGTCCTAAATATCAAAAATTGCATAAAAATTATCTCGCGCAATTTGCGCGAGTTTATCGAAAAAAATAATATAAGACATTTTTAATGGAGAATTAAAATGTTGGCCTAAATGATTTTTTCGATTTTGCGCAAATTAAGTAATTCTTAAAAGTTTCACGATTCGTAAAACTTTAATTATTTTTTCCTTAAACTTTGGCGAATTGAGGGAATAAAATGGCGAACGAATTTCAATTAATAAAAAATATAAGACCTTATAGACATTTGTGAGAGATACAGCTGCAAGTAAAATCAAATGGGAAGAGATTATATAAATATTATTTTATATTTTAGGTTCAGGTGCTGCTATGATTTAAATTTGTTGAAGATTTTTATTGGCTAAAAGAAAATGTGGATGATATATGTAAGCACACTGACGCAAGTTTTAGTTTAAAACAATCTAAGGATGCAATTAATGTACAAATATCTCCACATGTATTATAACATGAAATTAGAACTATATAATAATCTATATTTTAGGATTATGAGCCAAACATCCAAGATATGTTAAATGTACAAATATTATCACAAGTATATAACATTAAATTAGAACTATATAATAATCTACATCTTAGGATTATGAGCCAAACATCCAAGATATGTTAAATGTACAAATATCATCACAAGTATTATAACATTAAATTAGAACTATATAATAATCTATATCTTAGGATTTAGAGCCAAACACACAAGATATGTTAAATGTACAAATATCATCACTAGTATTATAACATTAAATTAGAACTATATAATAATCTATATCTTAGGATTTAGAGCCAAACACACAAGATATATTAAATGATATAGTCAATCAGAAACAAATTTTTGAATTTAAAATGAAATTTTCCCTTTATATTTATAATTTTCTATATTATTTTCATATTTATTATTTTTTGTATTATCTTCATATTTATGATTTTGTATATTTTTATAATAAAAATTATTATGTTTAATGAATTTTTATAAAATGTAATTTGAGTCATTTTAGCAGTTTAAATACAAATCAAAACAACACTTTTTTTTGCACTTTTTATTGAATATTTATAAATAAATGCTATAACTTTGACAAATTTAAACATTCATAAGAAATATAAGGTAATGGTAATTAGAAAATAAATGTATATAAAAATTTTGGAATAAGAGTTTCTAATTAATTTGTGTACAATGATTGCCCTCAATATCAATAATAATATTTTGTAATAAGCAGTCAGCCTTAACAATTTATATAGTATTAGTAATATTAGTTTCTAAGGTATATAAGTGTTTAAATTTGGAACTCATGAACATGATTATCTTCAAATAATATAAAATATAGAATTAGTAAATCATTCACATCAAACATTTTATAAATTTGAAAATAAATGTATGATTCCGGGACATGTTTCGTATCTCTCAAAACTTTTGAGAAATTTTTTTTTTAATTTAGGACACAGCCTAAATCATATAACATGAATAAATTTTTTATTACAAATCTTTATTAAACCCTGACATATTTTTGTTTAATTGTATATGAATTGACATTATTAAAATAAAGGCTCACCTTTTTTACTAAGTAGAATAAATATTTTTTTAAAAATAATATTAAGCAGTATGTATAATATATTTTTTAATTTTCAAACATATTAATCATTAACATTATAAACAAGGAGTAGAGAAGTGTACCTCTTGAATCTCTAACAGACAGTGAGTGTAAAAATTTAGTAAGGATAACATAAATATTAATAAAAGACCAGTCCGAACTGAAAATAATTAAACCGGTTTCAAAATGCCGACCCGTCATTCGGTCCGGCCCCTGTCTAAAATGAATAGGCTGCCCCTATGACCTTCATTAAATTAACTGAACAGTGAAAGTCAAAACTGATGTAAAGATTTTGAAATTATATTATGGAATGATAACCATAACGAACCCACAAGCTGTGATAAAATATATACCATAGAAAAGTAGAAATTTAACAAAACATGACAATAACTTTACGAATTATGCTAAGGATACCAATGATTGTTGAAGCAAAGCACTGAAATTAGTTTTTTAGTTAACACTAATATAAGCAAATTGAGATCGAATCATAACTAATGAAAGATTGCATGGGATTTTAGTATTTTAAATTAAATCCCAAAAATAATATTACGAATCATCCAAAAATTAATTTCCTTATTATATTCAAAATGTAACTTGTTACATTACAAATTACTTTTATATAACCCATCTTTTTAATACCCTTTTTTTATTATACAAAATAATTCTGAGATTTACACATTTTAATCAGAGAAATTTTAAAGAAAAAACAATTAAATAAAGAAATAATTAACCGTGTTAATTTTTTATAAGAATTCAGGTTTAATAAATTTTTATTTGACTTTAGCGTTGTTAAAAAACTCGATATTTTTTTTAAAAAAAGGCCAAATCAAGATTTTTGCCAAGATAATAATATCTAAGCCTCGGAATTTCGTCAAAAAATTAAACCATTTCCAAAATTGGTGTCTAAAACACATGTTTATTTTTTGCCAAAAATACGTTTCCCTAGGCTAAATAAACGTTCTACAGGCCATGCTTGATGTAAGTGAGACATATATTTAATAAACAGAAATTTCAAAATCGGGAAGTCATGAAATAAAGATAATGAATGATATACTTTTTATATGTTAGCCACAATGTGTTATTTTTTCAACTTTAAATCATTTTTTTGAACGTGTTTTTTTAAATTTAAAAATATAATTATACTGAAAATGTATTCCAGCATGTTTGAATACATATATTAGAAATTGTAGATAATTTTTTTGTTAACCTACGAGTCATTTATAATTTATGTGAAAAATCTATGGAAAAACTAATTAAAATTATATTGAGTTCAAAAGTTCATGGCAAAATTGTTTGAAATTCCTAGGATAGGTATTCTAAACATAATGGAGCATATTTCCGGTAAAATCAAATTTTTAAATTTAAAAAAACGCGCTCAAAAAATGATTGAAAGTTGAAAAAATAATACATTGCCGCTAACATATGTATTATTTTTAAGTAAGCGTAACTAGTTAGTTATTTTTTCTCATTGTAGATTGTAATAGTAATTTAAAAAATTCGCCCAGCTTTTTCTAGTGTTGTTAAATGGCTAGCCCAATATTTTAGCCAAAAATAAGCCTGGAACTTTTGCTCATAGAAGGCAAGTTTAGACATATTAATGAAATCTCGAGGTTTGAGTAATATTATTTCGGATTAAAATCTTAAAAATCGGTCAACCATGATCATTTGTTTAACACACTAATTCTTGCCGAAGGTCTCGCTCGCGAAATCACATCGCGATGCACTATAAAATAAATAATATAGCCGTGCTCTCTTTACAATGATCATCGCATAACTTAACCCTCATCTGGATTAAGAGCGGAATATGGTCAGGCGTGACAGGTTTATAAGGTGGTTTATTTATCAAATTCGACCATAAAATACAGACGCGAATAAGCAAACATCATATATGTATTAATTATATTATTAAAAATAAAATATTTGTTAATCCTGTATTATTTTAAATTTTTAAATATCAAAATTTGCAAATTATTTCAAAGTTAAAAAAAACGAAATAATAATAGTAAAAATAAATAAAATTTTATATATTTTTTTCAAGATAACAAAAGAAAACAGAAAAAAATAAATATTAGATAAATAATGAAGGGAAGACCACACGTTCATCAACCTCATAATCATACCATACTTTACTTTATAAAAATATCCTTTAAGTTCCCCCCCCCCCAATCCAGCCCATCGCTTAAATAAAATTAATAAAATTTCAAGATAATTAAAAAAAAAATTTTATAGATAAAACAAATAATATTTTTCAAAAAATTACGAATATAAGTAGAAAAAAAAACCAAAAGAAAACAGCATATCTATGCAAATTCTACCTCGTACTATCTAAGTATATAAATAATGAAAATTATATTATATTAAAAGAAAATTTTATATTTTTAAAAAAAGGTTAATCAATTTTATTTTCTTAAAAA